CACACTTAGATTCGTACGAAATTACTAAAACGGCTTCATTGTCTGGAGTATTACCCGAGGTTCGTGGTCTCACAGCCAAGGAGAACAAGGACGCCGGCGCGCAAAAGTGGGAGGTTAAGAGCAGAAGCTCAACAGGCAAAAGAAAGAGAATAGCTCTCTGATGCGGAGAGCGGTCCCAGAGAAACGGTTTGCCAGTTCCACTGGTGAGATGCAGGGGCTTTATAGCCCAGCTGGTGAGGAGGCAGTGTCTGATTTACATAGGGCAAGAAAGACTGATTGGACCAGGTGTGCCATTTGCATAGGGTACGAATTTCTGGCCACCCCCACCCTAATCTTTTAGTATGCCTGGCCTGCGCCATGTTGCCCACTCCTTTACTGTACACGTGGTAACAGTACATGTGGTAACAAAAAAAGGGAAGATGGAGCTTCCATGTTGGACATTCCTGGCCCCCAGGTAGCCCTTTTCTGTCCGCACAGCTGCCAGCATTCCCCCATGCAAGTTTCCAGCTTGCTTATCTATTTTTGCAGCTGGATTTTTCAGAGTGCTCTTTGTTAGAAAAAATAATAATAATAATTTATTGGGCTGCATTTTTGTTAAAAGGGAAGCTCTGCTGAGGACTCTGTTGCCCTCACTCTCCGCCTAATTTCTTTCTACCTCCTGTATCATTACCTTGCATGTGATCTCCATCAAAAGAAGTATCTCTACTTCCTCTCAACTTTCCCAGCAATCTTGGTTTCCAGGCTTTACTTCACACCTTTGGGTTCCTCAAGCGCCCCCAAGTTCTCTCAGACTCCTCCAAGAATTTAGTGAAATGCCTAGTAGGAACAAGGGTAAGAGAGTGTCTATGGTCTACAGCGACTCAGAAAACCAGAGGAAGGAGAGATCCCTCCAAAACAGGCTCACCAGGAAACCTTAATGGCAGAGACAGGTTCTTTGTTGTTACTGATGTTGTTGAGATAGGTTCTCATTCTCTGTCACTCTGCCACCCAGGCTGGAGTGCAGTGGGGCAATCATAGCTCACTGCAACCTCGAACTCCTTGGCTCAAGTGATCCTCCCTCCTCAGCCTCCTGGGTAGCTGAGACTACAGGCATACACCACCATATCCAGCTAATTTTTTTTTTTTTAATTTTTTGGGAGATGGGATCTTGCTATGCTGCCCAGGCTGATCTGGAACTCCTGGGCTTAAGCCATTCTCCCACCTTGGCCTCCCAAAGCGCTGGGATTATAGGCATGAGCCACTGTGCCTGGCCAAGGGAGACAGGTTTGATCTGGGCTTTAAAGAATGGATCAGGATGCAGGGAGGAATCGTTGGCTTTGTATCAGAAAGTATTCGGGATTTACCTGGAATAAGAACAAGCACAGGGCGTGGTGGGGGGCACCTCTGGGTGGGAAAAAGCAACTAGAAGATTGTTTTCATTTGAGAGACAGGTCTGTGGGAGACTTCTAGAAATAAAATTGGAAGGACAAGGTGGCAGAAAACCCAATAAAGCCTGAATGCCAAGGTGAGGGCCTTGGAAATAATCAGAAACGCCACTGAGAGCCACTCCTGACTTTTAAAGAGAGTGACATTTAAGAGGTTTAAGTTGGCAGCCATATGCAAGATGTGTCAGAATGAGGTAAATAAGCAAACTGGGTGAGAGGCAAAAGGGCCTCGACCAAGGTTTATTGATAAGTATGTTGCCCAAGACTGAGTCAAAACTCTTGCTAAAGTCAATCTAGATTAAATCTGTCGCTTGCCTTTAACCTAGCAGGCCAATCAAGGTCTCCAAGGAAGAGATGAAATTCCTCAGAGCAGGTCTTGGTTATGAAGCCAAGTGAGTGGTTATTCACACTTCGTGTCTCTGAGATGGGCACACATGCAGATGTGCTGACTATTTCCCTCTTTCCACTGTCAGTCACTTCCTGGCCAAACTGTCTAAAAACAAGAGAATCACAGTCTTAGCGGTGGACATAACCTCAGCAATCATGTGGTTCCTGTCATGCACTGGTACATCATTTTGCACTGAGAGCCAACCATGTGACCAGAACTGTGCTGGAGGAGGGAAATGGAACACAGTAGCCTCACGGGAGGCAGAAGCACCTTACCACCAAGCACCCCAGCTAGTCCAACTCCTTCATTTTACAGATGGGTAAACTGAGATACAGACACATCAAGTGACATATCCACATTCACACAGGTATTTGCAGATCCAGGTTAAATATGTAGACAGGCCAGGCGCGGTGGCTCACGCTTATAAACCCAGCATTTGGGGAGGCCAAGGCAGGAGGGTCACTTGAGCCCAGGAGTTCAAGATCATCCTGGGCAACATAGCAAGATCCCATCTCTACGAAAAGTAAAATACAATTAGCCAGTTGTGGTGGTACATGCCTATAGTCCCAGCTACTCAGGAGGCCGAGGAGGGAGGATGGCTTGAGCCCAGGAGTTCGAGGCTACAGTGAGCTATGATCACACCACTGCACTCCAGTCTGGGCAACAAAACAACATCCTGACTCTTAAAAGGAAAATGCAGACACATAGAAATCTACACGGAGACTATATATATATGTGATGTATATGCAATATATACATACGTCTTTGTGGTTATGTATGTAAATATATATGTATATATGTAAA